GGCTGCTGGGCGCCGAGTTCGCCTTCCCTCCCCTCTAGAGCCTGCGGCGGGGAGCGGCGGCCAGAGCCCGGTCCGGGCGTTGCAGCCCGTACCTGGGAGCGCCAGACCTGCCCGCTCGCTTCCTCGCTGCCTGCAAAATGGAGAAAATAGTTCCCTTCCTTTTGTGTGCCATAAGCAGCTGGTTAATGTTAGCACAGCCCCTCGGACGCGCAGAGGTGTTTGAGACTCGCAGTGTTAAACATCCTTGTATTTTACAAAGTTTTGCTTTGTTTTGTTTTTCTTTAAAAGAGGAATGTTTATAGGAAATTGCCGGCTAACACCAGGTTTCTGCAGATCTATATTCCAAGTTAGGGATCTGGTTCCAGGTGGGAACCGCAGTTTTTCTGTTCGCAGGTCTGACCAGGTAGCCTTTGGTGACCCTGGTACCTCTCCTCGCTGTGACTAGCAGCAGAGTGAAAGTGGGAACCATCAGTTTCGCTGGTGCTATTCAGGAGGCTGTGGACAGTAGTGAAAGGAGTATCGTTTCCCGTGCCATTGAATGAGAAGACTGTAGGTACAAATAGTTGCAGTTACAGAAGCTGTGATGGAGAAGGGTCACGGACAAAGAAAAAGGAGGTCAGAGGAAAAGGCTAGGTGGGAGGTAGAGGAGTGGCATCAATCCCACCCCACTCAGCATCTGAACACGGGTGAAAACATTGCTCCTCTCTCCTGGTTCTCTGCAAACTTTGATGTGCACCAGCCAGGGGTTAACGTGACAGATCAAGGTCTCTGGAACAGAGAGGGATGGATTCGCTGCCAGACCATTTTTCCTGGTTCTCAATTGTAGTCATAGAAATAGTCACATGAGAGACAAGTACTAGAAGGGAGAGCGTAAGAGTTCTGCAGCCCTGCCAGGAAGTTAAATAAAATGGCCCTGGGGTGACCACTGCGGGTGCTGACAATGTTTCTGCCTGCGTCAGGCGCTAGCTCGGTGGACTAAGTTCATCAGGCAGTAGCATGGATGTGCCACCTTTGCGTAGCTTTTGATCTAATCCGCTCGACGTGTTTTCAAACCAACCAAATGGCAGCAGCGCGTGTGTGCAGGCAGAGGTGGTCTTTTCGCCACGTCAGATTCATTTGTGGAGTTTACTGTTGATGCAGGCTGTGCCTGCAGAAGGACCCAGGTGGTCTGCAATGAGGTCAGCTCCTCCCGGAGCAGGGCTGTTGCATCTCCAACCCTTTCTTTTACGCTTGTTTCTAAGACTGCTGTATTTCTCTCTGGGATTTCCCATATTGTAGTGTTGTCTTCTGAGAAATCTTGAGTTCCTGGTTCATGGGCTACACATCCAGTGCATGAGAAGGCAAAAACTTGTGGGCAGAAGAGATGTTGTACCCAGAGGTGCCCAGACTGAGCTGTAGC